TGTTGTTGTTGTTGTTGTTGTTCTTTTGGCTCTTCTCAGAGGAGACTGGTGCCGGACCCGGTGCAGGACGCGGTGGGACCCGGTGGGAGACCGGGTCCCCTAATATCCGAAGCGCAGCTCCCGATCTAGCAGCTTCGGGGTGTGAAGGAGGTCATCATAGGTCATCAATGTGGATGATCGCTATGCGAAATCATCTGGACACATGGATGATCCACATGCGGATGATCCCATGTGGATGAAACAAGATCGATCTGGACATGCATGGGTTTTGCCCCGATCGAGCCTGCCAGGTAGCTGATCCTGAAGGCCCATTGGCCGCGCAGTGTGGCGCGGGATGTGGCCAGGCGCAAGGCAGGGGATTTGGTGAGCTGCAGTGGTGAAGATCAAAGAGACTGGAGAGATCACTCCAAAAAGATGGATGCAGATGACGTTGGTCGGAATTGTGTGAATCTAGATTTGGACCGCAATGCACTATAGCCGTAGCCTATAGTTGTGTGTCTGAAAGAGAATTCGAAGACGCCCAATCTCATCCAAGAATTGGGGAGGAATACGCGAACTGCCGATCCAGTCTCCGTGTACGCCTAACGTAGCATGGGCAACGTCAATCTTTTTGAACGAATCTCATGCGCTTTTCACTAATGGACGGTTTTTTCAAGCCAGCGACTTCCCCGACCCAGAAACTGATGTGACCAGTGGGTTTTTCTTGATCGATCACTTGGTGAAGGTATTTGCCGAAAATGACAATGGAGATGAAATCAGAATGAAATTCCTGAGTCTAGCCTCTATTCTTCTTATACTTCATCTTGAATCCTTTTGCATCTTCTTTCAGGCCGGCCTAAAGCCATTGAGTTCGGCTGTGGCGTGGCCCTGGCTGGCTTGGCGGCTCATGCCATGGGCTATGACACCACACTCACCGACTGTTTACCCGGCCATTTGAAGAACCTCCAGAGCCTCCAGACGAACCCTGTGGACCGCGTGGCGAATCCCGCCGTCGTGGTCCGCCGTGGCGTGACTGTACGCAGTACGCAGGGCAGGCGGAGGGATGGTGGCGATGGGGATGGGGAGTTGATGAAGGCGACTGAAAGCTGTTGGTAATAGATCATCATCTTCATCCTAAGCTGCTGAAACTTTGGGTCTGTACTAGTCTGCACTGTCTGTACTGTCCTCCATCATCATCCAAACGAAACTACTCTTTGCGTTCTTCCTCGACCCCTGGTGGACCGGTCGTGATGGTGGAGGGTCCCAGACACGGATGGGCTTGAGAGATGTTGGGTTCATGTGGACCGGTGGGCAAACCACGGCGCTTGCGGCCTTAGCGAGAAGTTCGCTGATTTGTTGGTTTGGGGGTTACAAAGGAGTTGGGGCCTTAGGACGTTGTGAGCTTGGATTCATCAGTTTGGGGTTAAGGCACCAGTCCGAAGTTGAAGGATGTTGAAGCGGTTTACGCAGGGATCTATTCCTGATCTGATCTCTCCCAAAGGAAAAAGACTACTTGTATCAGACCGCCAAACCTCCAAACGTGCACCCCTGTTTTTTTCAGCTCAATCACATACCTCCAGCATCTCCTTCCAGCTTCCTCAAATGCTTCGACCTCATAGTCCGCCAAAGAACCTCTACCTCCAACGGGTCCGCAGCTCCGAGGTTTGGACTGGCTCCTGGATGTGGGCCACGCGGCCCACGCGGCCAACCAAACGCGCGACGCGATCGACAGAGGGTCTCCGGAGAACCTGGGAGAAGCTGAGTCTGACACTGGGCCTGGAAAGTTGGAGCTATGTGGATCCTGTTGGCCTGCTGGATGCCCCAAAAAAACGAACAAACATATTGAAAAATCATCAATGGGAAAGGGCTGGAAAGGGATGGAAAGGGCCCACATGGTGAGGAAACATACACCAGATGAGTATCCAGATACATAAACAGACATCAACCAGTATTGCAATACAATGACTCGTAAGTGAGGGCTTACTCGTGTTCACTTTGCTAGTTCGGATTGGCTCGTATTTGTGGATAGCCATCGTGAACGATGGTTTCTAGGGATCCACTCCACCTCGTTCAACGCCTCTCTTGCGTTTGGCTGCGTTGGAGGGGAACTGGCTGCGTTTGGCTCGTTCTTTCGCTTCCACCAAGTGCTTTTGGAACTATATAAATCCAGATACGACCACACCCAACTTCCAAAACTTTCAAAGCACCCTTCTATTCAGACAGTGGTCTTGGCTGCAAAACGCTACTTACTATAGTACTACCATCTACTACCCCAGTCCAGTCCTTCTGTTTGGAAGACTTCTGGTTCTCTTCGCAGCCGTTTTGGGCTCCACTCCTTTCGCGGTTTCGAACCGGAACCGGGGCCGTCTGACGTCCAAACGACCGACTCAGTAACTCGGGCGGTTCTCACAATGGGTGACTTGGCTCACAGAGTGAAGCGAAGTCGGAGGTTTTCTCTTTGCAACCGAAGAAACTTCGACTTCTCCGACCGGGTTGCAAATAGATTCAGCGACATCCACACTTTGGGTTGCGGGGGACACATGACCGGATAGTTGTGCTGCTCACGAGATGCTGTGGAGATGCATCAAGAGACTGAAAGACAATCTACGAGACGTACTGGTACAACAAATTGCATATGTTGATCATGCTGGTTTCTTTTGTAGGGGTGGTGATTCAGACTCATGCCGAAGGAGGGCAAAAAGCAACATTAATGACTACATAGTAGACACTTGATCCATGTTGTTTCATCCATTTCCGCCGAGTGTAAATCTTGTTGAAACCTTCAATCATTCACAAGCTCGACCTGATCCACAAGAGTAGATGCTGGCAAACCAAACCAGATCAGTAACACAATCCCAAAGTACTAGGTCTGAAGGCTTTTTGCGGAACAATGGTCACGAACGGGGACCTCTCTGAAGGCTCCTCTGTCCATAGGAGATAACCCGTATCATTGTCCTTCACTGGAAGGACAGTAAGCGTCACATTGTTTATAAAAATCATAAGAATGTCAGCTCACGGAAGTTGCCACTTTAGATGGTCTCCAATAGACACATATAGATCGCCAGCAGTCAAACCAACTCGGATGATGGACTAGAACACTAGAAAGCCCTGCTGGTGGGTTTGAAATCATCAACCACTTTCAAAGGACCCATTGCGGCGACGGCCACTTTGCAGGAATAGAACAGTGCAAGCTGCATGGTATAGAGTTCCAATTTCGGGTTCAACCTGGATTCCGAACACCCTGTTCCACTCCATGTGGCATATTTACCTACCATCACCCCCCACCCCCTTTTCGGTCCCACCCCAATGTGATAAATCTTCCAGTCCCCTGAGGCCCCAGATGGCCCCACCTCGAATCACCCCCTCCAGAGTCCCCTGGGTCGGGTCGTGGATCGGGTCAGGTTACGGTCCCATGCACTTGCCGCTGGTCTCCCGGAGTTTGCCTGAGGAGGACGGAGTCCACCGTGCGGGCTTCGAAAACACCAACACATCCGCACATCCCAACGTCCAACGTCCGAACCGGTCGGGTGGATGGCCGGATGGCCGGATGGCTCGGCCGTCTCCACGTCTCACAAGGGGAGACCGGTGGGACACCAAGCGATGGAGGGGCCGATCGCCAGTGATTTCTCCGGTCAGATTGAAAACAGAAGTGGTCAAGTGTTATGTAGTCCGTTGGGTAACACTAGTTCTAGGTTGAGTAACCACTTTCCAATGTCAGGCTCCATAGCAAAACCATCTTGCGAGTTCGACGTGTCGAATTATAGTGGTTATTGAAGCAAACCGCAGCATGTTCGATCAAACCACCCAGTTCGTGTGGTTTACATGTTCCATCTGGTCGTCATCCTGACAGGGTGGTGGTTCAAGCATTTGGCTTTGATAACTTGTTTGAGACACCCGAAATCCACCGCTGGAGGACCATGAATGGCCGCGAACCCCTACACCCAAGGCCATGTACAGCGGCTTTGGGTTGGTGTTCGGACAGCAACCGCTGGGAAGGACCACTTTGAATGTGAATGCGAAGGAGTTTGTCCCACAGAAACTTGGAGTAACAAAGTCATTGACAGCTATTTGATGCCTTTTTTGATTGAAGAAGCACCTTTTACCCCCCACACTTCGACAGAATGACTGGAGCCCGTCCTCGCAAATTCAGGCACTTGGGACCAAACACTGGCCATCAAAGGTCATCAGCTTCTCGCAATGTGGAAGCCTCGGGCCCTCATCGCGCCATGAGGTGCAACAGGCTTCAGGGACTTCAGGGGTCCAAGAAGGTCACAGAGAAAGTGTTTGCAAGACACCACTCTTTAATTTGGCCAAAGAACCTCTGAGAGTCTATATAGTCTGGTCTGGAAAGAGGAGGTTTGTGGTCTTCTGGGGTCACCAATCAGCCGAGGAAGAGCTTCGCCATTTCAATCTCGGCCCAAGTGGAGCGATGCTGGGAGGAGGACGAAGTGAAAGCTCCATCATCCGCAGGTTCCGCACTTCATGGCACCGGTCAATGCACTCTTGGCTGAAGCTGAAGCATGCTGAAGCGGTGGAGTCTCCAAAAAAATTGAAGGATGGGAAAACACACAAGCTCTTGGTGGCCGAGCTCTTGGCCCAATTCCGTACTCAAACCCTTCATGGTGCCCTTGGGTGTGGATCTGCTCCTGTAGGTTTTCTCTCAAAACAGGACGACTTGAGTCGACATTTCCGGCTCGTTTGGGGCACTCATGGTATCCCCAAGTCCGTGGCCACCCGGTCACGTAGCGCGTCTTCGCACTGTTTTTCGGCACAGAGACTTCAACTGCACCGTGAGACGGTCGCTGCCGTCACTGTTTTCTGGAGAAACCGTTTGGGAGTCCGTTTGGGAAAACCAAATGAGCTTGACGGCTTCTTGTGTCAGCATACACGTTTAAAACATATGTTCAAACGCCGCTACGTAGCTGTAAGTAGTCTGTATGGCGAGTTAACAGTATGGCTACAGGTCTTAAGGGCTCAAAGGGATGCATACTGCATGGGCATGTTTGCTTCGAAGTTATCCTGGTATGAGTCAGCATGTGAGTCTGAGTATCATGTTCGTTGGCATCATTGGTTTGAAGTGGAGTACAGTGACCTACACAAGATAGAGAAGCACACCCCACTCAATCCGTCGAAACCCCTCAACAAAAAAGTCTTTACACATAATAGACTTTCTTAACATTTACATATATGTATAGACATTAACATTGACAAGTAAAACATTGTTTTTCTTATTTTTTTAAAAACTGTCCACCTGCGAAACGAGAATTTGAGTTTGCGTTGTAAAGCATGAACCGAAGAAGTTGTTCAGTGATGTGATGCAATTGTTCAGCGATGCGCCGAGGCAAGCCTTGCGCTTGGTTCTGGAAACCTCGTGGTTGTTCTAATGCCTCCTCCTGTGCATATTGCCACTTATGCCCTGCGGGCGCTTTGAAGGAACGTAAGAAGCAAAAGGTGCCTTCTCAGATTGTTTGGTCAGGTGATTTGTTCTCACCATTCTTACCCTCCTAAGTTTGGCCTGCTCAGATTCTGTCATGGACATCCCCACTTTCGGGGGGCAGCTTTACCAGGGGCTCCCAAAGATCAGTGCTTTTTGTCTGGACCAATGGAAGGAGGGTCGGGGTGATGGATGTTAGACCTTGTCAGTTGGGACATGGGTGGAAGAAAGGGACGAAATGAGAAGAGCACCCCAAACCCATTGGGTTGGAGGTCTCCCTTTTGAAGTACACCTATATATGATATCCTATGACCCATTTGGGAAATCCATATTACTGATTACTGGGGATGTGTGTGTGTGTGTGTCCACCCCTGGACCAAGGGTTTCTTCCAACCGATTCACCTGCCACTTGTTCCACCACCGATTCACAAGCAGGGGGATCAGGGACGTTTGGCTTGGCCTGATCCAACGAAGCTCCAGCCATTCGTCAGGATATTCTCGAGGGACGCCTTGAGAACGTACCTGCAAAGTTCTTCACACGCTGTTACTCCACTCTTCCACGGTTTGTTTCATGGTTCTTCATGATACCTCCCACAAACCCACCGCCACCTTGCGACGCTTTGCAGCCGACTTTGAGTGTCAGACCATTTTCGAACGCAGCTGCCAACAATGTTCAACAATACGGTTTTGCGGACTTATGCACCTTTCCTTTCCCTCGCCTTCCTTCCCAACGTGGTAACTGAGTCACTGAAAACCAATGTCAGAGTGTGTTTCGCTCAGCCGTCCCACTCGGGTGCTGAGTGTGATCCCCGTCACAGGGGCGCCGTTTTTGCATAGGAAATCATCCACCCCAACTTGCCACCTACCACTGGATTTCCACTGGAAGTCATTGACACATCCATAGAATCAACTGATGCATTGGCCGCCGGGCCCAAAAACGGGATTACTTCGACAGCCGCCGGGCTATAAAACGGTGCGGTGCTCAACCCCCAATGAGGCAGGTTCCCCACA